AATGTATGAAAGAAAAAAAAGGAGTATGTAGCTATAATATAAAGACCACTGAAATCTGAACTAGAAATAACATTCTGATGATAAAATGATAGTATTTTTTATGCGGAATTTCATAACTTTTTTCTATAAAACTTTTCTTCTTAGTTGGTTAAGTAATGAGTAAAAAAGTTCCAATGTGACAATACTAGCAGTTTACAATTTGAATATAAAACATGATGCTTGAAAGATTTTAGTATATTGTGATTTGAATTGTGTCATTTCTTAGAACATGAACATATTGTGATTTAAATTGTGCATTTCTGTATTATAGGATGCTCTAGGGGTCTAGAAATCGAACTAATTTTCCCACTGGCCACCTGCAGCACTTTCGAATGGTTGGAATGTCTTCATCTTTAATCAAGGAAGCGTAGGCGTTGGCAGTTCTGTCTCTGGTCCTGACCAGTTTACACAATAGACTTTAAAATCATTCTCGGAGTTAAAATGCCCCGAGAATGATAGTGTCTATGGAAGGCTTGGAAGGTAAGTCATCGTTCCTTTTCCCAGAATGATAGTGTCTAGTGAAAAGGAAGATAGGAAGGTATGAAGGTTAGAAGATTAATAATTAAGAGGATCTAGAGGAAATAGTGAAGAAGTTCAAGAAAAATGAAGAGAGATTGAAAAAGTTGTGAAAAACACCATTTATAAGCAAAATAGAAAGAGCCATAATTGCCTTCGGTGACGAGCAAAGTGATTGTCATTGGGAAAAAAGTGAGAACTCGTGGCCCAAAGATAGAAATGAACCCATGGCCCGAAGATGTGGCAAAGGAAAAAGACAAATACTCAATAATTACAATTATCCTGCTGACAACAGAGGAATATTAGCTGGCACAACTAACGATATTCCCCACGTGAAATATTACTATTGAGTGAAGTACTTTAGGACTCGAGTGGAGCTTTTCTATTGGTTGATGTATAATGTATTGCCTTGGTTGTCTACAAATAGTAATTTTCAATTTTTCACACAATTGTAAAGGTTTGAATTTTGAACCATACTAAAAGCAATATACTGATATTCTTATTTATGCTCCAAGTTTTCTATATTTTACTATTAAGTCTTTACTTCATAGCATTTAGATAATGAAACGTCCTCAGATCTGAGATTCACAGAAGAAATGATTAACTTTAAGGGAGAATTAAGAGATCAAAATAAAATCAATCATAACAAAAAGAAAATAAGCATGCATATATATATGTCTTTGTTCCTCTATCTATTTTGCTTATTTGCTTTGAGTGTAATCCTACTCCTTCCTGTTTGCTATTTCTTTGAGTAGCAAGAAATAGTTGCTCTTACTTTAAGTCAGAACATCTTTTATTAGGACGATACATATCAGGTACATGGTGGGAAACCAAAAAGAAAAGCATAGGAAAGTCGTCCTCTTTAATAAATTTTATAGGCAACAATAAGTGATACGGAGTGGAAAACCAAAAAAAAATCTTGTAAGGTGTCTGGTCCCATATATACTGTGAGTTGTGACAGTTGTATGAAAAGAAAAAAAAAACTGTTTATTATACAACATAAAAATTCACTATCTTGTCAAATCCTAGTTGATTTTTTTTATAAAAAAAATATGTATGTATATGTCTTTGTTCCTCTATCTATTTTGGTTATTTGCTTGGAGTCTAATCCTCCTCTTCCTGTTTGCTCTTTCTTTGAGTAGCAAGAAATGTTGCTCTTACTTTAAGTCATAACCTCTCCATCTTGTACAGCTAGTGCTTTGTTTTATTGGTGTAAGTCTCGGAAATGGAAAAAACTCTAGGAGAATACGTATCAGACACTTGGTGGGAAACCAAAAAACAATACATAGGAAGACATTGTATTGGCATGACATACGTACGTATATTACCTCAATTAATTAATCATGTCTGTATACATATTCTAGTCATCAGCCAGATACTAATTAAGAATATATAAACCCCTCCAAGCTAATTCAAAATCACATTGTAGTATCAACTATGAAATCCTTAAACTTCTCTGTTATGCTCTCAATATTTCTCATAGTCTTATTGTACGCATGTTCGAGCACGTATGCTCTTTCAGATGATTCAACATCGTCGTTTAATGGGAAGTTGTATGAATGTATTTGCCAGAATTCTGATTATTGTGTCCCTTTCTCCACAGCTTTCGTCACCCCAACAAATGATTCGTTCAACACAATCCTACAATCTACTGCACAAAATCTCAGATGTTTACTTCCTTCTGTTACCAAACCTCAGCTTATTTTCACACCAATGACAGAATCTCATGTACAGGCTGCTGTCATTTGCTCAAAACAGCTTGGCCTTCAGCTTAGAGTTAGAAGTGGAGGCCATGATTATGAAGGTAACTTATTTATACGTATATTAATATTATATATCAAATACGGATGATTAGAGAGGACATGACACAACTTTGAGGTTACCAAGGACATGACCTTAATTAGATGGGAAGGTGTAGAGGACGTGTATTAGGGTAAAAGGTTTGTGCAATGGAGTGTTTTTCTTGCTTTCTGAGGGTTTAGGCTTGTTGGCGTTTGTCGTTGTACTAGTTGTATTATTGTAGTCAACGCTTGTAATATCTATCATTATCTGTTGTTTATTGTGTTTCGATTATCGCATGTTTTTGTGTTCTTGTTCCTTTCTCATAGGATTTGCTGTTCCGCTTGTTAGTTGCTATGTTTTCTTATTTTTTGTACTTGGATTTGCTACACTTGAGCCGAGGGTCTTTCAGAAACAACATCTCTACCTCTGTGAGGTAATGATAAGGTCTGCGTACACTCTACCCTCCCCCAGACCCCACAATTGGGATTCCACTAAGTGTGTTGTTGTTGTATCAAATACGGAAAATATCTCCTGTTCTCAGTTCACCCCTCAAAGAATTTCTTTTGTTTTGGCAGGTCTCTCTTACATGTCTGATATGGAGTCTCCTTTCATCATTCTTGATCTGTCAAAGCTTCGAGATATCGTGGTGAACACAGAGGACAACTATGCTTGGGCACAGGCAGGGGCAACTGTTGGTGAAGTATATTATAGGATTTCAGAGAAAAGCAAGACTCATGGTTTTCCAGCTGGTCTTTGTACAAGTTTGGGAATTGGCGGTCACATAACAGGCGGAGGTTATGGTACTATGATGAGAAAATACGGATTAGGAGTTGATAATGTGGTTGATGCAAGAATAGTTGATGCAAACGGCAGGATTCTTGATAGGCAGAGTATGGGTGAAGACTTGTTTTGGGCAATTAGAGGAGGCGGAGGAGCTAGTTTTGGTATTATACTTTCTTGGAAGTTGAAGTTAGTACCTGTTCCATCAATTGTAACAGTTTTTACTGTCCCTAAAACACTTGATCAAAACGCGACAAACATTCTTTACAAATGGCAACAAGTTGCAGCTGATAAGCTTGATGAAGATCTCTTCATCAGAGTCATCATAAACGTAGTTGCTGATAAAAAAGGTGAAAAGACTATTCAGACTGCTTATAATTCAATGTTCCTTGGTAGAACAGACAGACTTTTACAAATAATGAATGATGTTTTCCCTGAATTGGGATTGACACACAAGGACTGTACAGAAATGAGTTGGATTAAGTCGATCATGTATATTGCTGGTTACCCGAGTAACACCCCACCAGAAGTTCTCCTTCAAGGTAAGTCGTTGTTCAAGAATTACTTCAAAGCAAAGTCAGATTTCGTCAAAGAGCCAATTCCAATAGATGGTCTTGAAGGGCTATGGAAAAGGCTAATGGAAGAAGACTCACCATTAGTCATATGGAATCCATATGGTGGAATGATGGCTAAAATCTCAGAATCTGAAACCCCTTTTCCTCATAGGAAAGGGATCATTTACATGATCCAATACTTAACACTTTGGAATGATCCTTCTAAAGAATCAGCCACAAAACACTATGATTGGATTAGAAGACTTTATAATTATATGACACCTTATGCTTCTATGTTCCCTAGAGAAGCTTATGTGAATTATAGAGATCTGGATATAGGGATGAATAAGAATGAGAGTTCTAGTTTTATAGAAGCTAGTGTGTGGGGAAACAAGTATTACAAAGACAATTTCAATAGGCTAGTGAAAGTGAAGACTAAGGTGGATCCAGAGAACTTCTTCTTGCATGAACAAAGTATACCAACACTTCCTATTACAAGGAAGGGGGAGGAGAAGAGTGTCAATCACTTTGAAATGTAATATGATGCATTATTTTTAAGTTCATTTTATCTTTGCAAAGTTGTAATCAAAAGGTTTTGACAAACCATATATAGGGAAGAACCAATTGCCTTATGTTTGTTTTGGAGTGTTTGAATTTTCTATAGATGGTATAAAATTCTTGAGATGAATTTGTGTTCTAAAAAAAAAAAAGATAGTTTGGTGCACGAAGCTCATTATATATGCAATTAGAGAACTTCTCTTTTCTCAACATTTTTGGGCAAGTTAATATCTCAGAAGATCACTCGACTATGGAGAATTTTATCTGAGACTTTCTTTTGTATTGATAAAATCACTCAAGTTAACGTTTTCATCATCTAAAATCACTCAACTAAATTTATCATTAATATCATTAATAGAATATATCATGGCAAAACAAATTCTTTGTTCATGTCATATACATAATATGGATCCAAACAAACAAAAAGAAACTCATTATGATTCTTATTCTTTCTGTTGCGGTAGGAGATATGTGTAATAGTTAAGTTGTATGTTTGTAACACCTATAGGTCACAAGTTTGTGCCGTAGAATTAGCCTGCATCAGGGTTAAGCTCCCTACATTACACCCTCTTGACGTGCGGTCCTTCTCCACACCAATGTGAATGCAGGATACTTCGTGCAGTAGACTGCCCTTTTATGTTGAACCCCTCAAGAATGCTACTGTGAGGTGGTTTCAGAACAACAAGATTAGGACTTTGTTCCTGCAAACATGAGGCAGTAAGGTCTATGCAGTACAATTTTGAACTCTTTTGACGCACCTCGACTACCAGCTTCAAAAATATGGTCAATAAACACAAGAAATATTGATACTTTTCCCACTCTTATTGCACTATACATTTCACAGCTCCCGAGATGGATTCATTCGATGCACAGATTGCAACTTGAAAAACTGTAGTAAATTATGTACAGGTAGGGAGTCATCTAAATGGTTCAACAGGTTCAGTTTCTTCCAGAATAATAGCAGCTTCAAAACAGTCAGCAGCTTCCGCGGCTGAACCTAAACCTCCCTCTTTGTATAACAGGCCCAGATTATACCATGCAGAAGCATTCATCCGATCAAGCCGTAGTGCTTCTGTTAGAAGGCTTCGAATAATTGCAGGAGACTGTTTACCTATCTTCCTAAGCACCACTGCACTTGATACCAGACTTGGCACATGGGATGGATTAACAGCCAAAGCATTGGAATAGTCTCCCAGAGCTGCTTTATATAGGCCCTTCGATTGGTTAAGCAAACCTGAGTATGACACCAAAAGTATACTACATGATCAGAACCGCCCGCTAATTCGAAGGAAGAATTAGTTGCTCATTAACCAGACAAATGTGAACAAAATAGTGTTCACCATGGACATCAAAATTTACCATAGACACCAAATATATGAACCATTAAGTAAGACTACAAAGAAGTAGCCGAATCAAGAACAGGAGATGCATATATACCATGTAAAACTCAAAACATAGCAAAAGATGATCTTTACACATATGACCACCAGTAACTATTTAATGTAGAAGATGTTGGAGTCGATAACCAAAAGAATGTCGATAAACAAGAAGTTGATTCCCCTACATACACACACAGCCCACACATATGATATTGTCGATCAACTAAATTTTCCTGACCCTTTTACTTGTATATAGCTGAAGCACCAGACGTCTAAAGGATTCTCTGCTGGTAACACTAAAAGGCCTAGAAGATAAATAGCCAAATTTAACATCCTAGGATATAAAAGAGAAGGTTTAATGGAATTCAAGGAATTGTATGACTTGCAAGTTATGTACACAGCAGTGAAAAGGAAAGTTCACTTAATAGAGAAACTTTTGAACAAAATAGGTTCAATGGGGAAAACATTACACAAAGGTTAAAACTTGGCTATAGCCTATAGGTAAAATGGGGGATTTTATAGAACTAAGTGGATCATCTAAAGGCATTCCAAATAAAAGTGTGTCCCAAATAATCAGATAAAGACTATATAAACTTTTAAAAGAGTAGACAAAAACTCCTTAACACCGATGAATTTTTCCATAACACTGGATAAAATGGTCCCAATCCTATAAATTACAGATCCAACATTACATCATCCATCCTTGGATGCCACATTTAGAGCATAGTTAAATTGACTAAAATCAACTAGGACTCGTAATTATGTTATGTTGGTTTTCTCATGAATATAAATCAGCAGGCATGAACATTTTGAGTTACATGCATATGTTTAAAATAACGAGCACAGTCAGGGGAGAATATGAGTGAGATATATCTACCAGCAGTATACAATCTACAAGCTGAATATGAACTGATAGCCTCAGTTTTGGAAAGACACTTCTCTGCATCTCGCCACTGAGATAATTTAATGTAGATGGAAGCAAGATCCAGCCAGGTTTCCAGCTCCAATGTTCTGCAATGGTCTCCAAACTCCTGATATGTACATAAAATAAAATTTTTACTTCTTCCTCCACATAAAAATGTTATTTCAAGAAAGTAAGCCAGCAAAACGGGCAACACCAGAGAAGTATTTACCGCTAAGATGGACAAGTGAAAAGGTCAAACTCTTCAAGGTTGCACATTAAAAGAAGTAAGAGAAGGACAACATATTCATCTGCCTAAGGTTTAAAATGAGGCTTTAAGGGCATATCAGTTTTCATTCACCTGCCACTATGTCAGGCAAACCACTAATGTGCTAAGCAACTCAAGACTTCTCCTCCATTCCGAAGGTCAGAGTTAGCTAGAAGTACCAGAAAAAAGCCTAACATTTACAACAATCACACTTGTAAAAGTCAGGGAGACACACACATAAAAAGAAGTGGAAAAAACCTTTCCTGAATTACCAAGCCGACAAGCTGTATCGGACAGTTATGCAATATGCAACCATATGAAACAAACAGGAGCCTTTCAAATGAGAAATAAAGACATGCTTTGGCCTGCCGTATCCCAATTCAGTGTGTTTGCATGAGCAGCATGGTTTAATTGAGACCCCCAAGCATTGCCAAGAAATTTGTTTAAGGAAGCAATACCTTCATGCTACATTTGTTCATTCCCTCACTTAATTCTCCTGATTCTATCTAATTATTTAACCCTTTTCCTCTGTCCATACACCTTGCACTCTCGGCTACTCGTCGGTGTCAGCTGTACTGTGTAGTAACCCATTTATTTTTCCTAAGAGATTTTATGTCCGAGGACAGGGTAGCTCTGTTGGCTTTCAATAGCCATGGAATTTTCGTATTAGCAGACACAGCCTGAACAATTCCTAGTTAACAAGCTTGTTAATTGATAGTTCATAAGGAGTTAGAGCTCTATAGAGTTCAATGTATAAAAAGTTCTATAGTCATTTTACTTGCAAACCTCTTACAACCTTTAAAAGCATCAAATAAGACAGATGAAAAAAAGCTTTGTTGAAAAGCTCCATTTCAGCTTGTAAGGGCAAGACCTGCTCACCTTGAGATCTTCCCCCAGTCTGAAGCTTTTTCTCTGAACCTGAAGAATAGCAAGAATCTGAGTATATGTTTCTATAGCATTTTTCACTTGACCCTGCGCGATTTGGAGCTTAGCTTTGGTCCTCAACAGTTCTCCATGATCCCACTTTCCACTCTGCTCTAAGGCAACATTAATGACAGTTTCAGCATCCAGAAACCGTTTCTGAGCTGATAACACCCGAGCCAAGAGCATCGATCCTTTCAGTGTAGAGCCACCTTCCAGTTTAAGAAACCAGTTTACGTAATGGACTGCGACATCCAACTTCCTTTGTTCGGCATTTTCTAGACAAAGATGGTAAATAACATTAGTATCACTCATCTTTGTCAGCTTTCCAGCAGATTCAAAGGACTTGAGTGCATCTGAATGTATCTTAACCCTCTCGGAATCTGTCAGTATTGTTCTAGAATGAGCTGAAAGTGAGAGCCCTAATACACAATTGGCAACACCCAACAACTGACTACATCTTTCTTGTAGGCTTTCAATAGCTCTGTGAGCATAAATTATCCCCTCTCTTGCACAATCTGGGCTTTCAGCACACACTTTTGAAGCCAATAACAAACCTGGAACACAGGTGAGATCCTCTGTACTACTCAACAGTTTCCGTAACAAGTTCAATGCAGTGAAGTTATCTTCTCCTCCATAATAGCAGAGAGCTAAAATAAGATACATCTCTTGCCGATCTATAGTTCTGGGAAGCAGCTCTTCTACTTTGCTAGCCAAAACCTTTAAACCCCCTGAGATGGATAATGCATATGAGAGATGATCAAGAATCGAAGGGTCCCACTCTATCCTTTGTAGAGAAATCTTTTTCAATAAAATCATCAAGAGAAGAATAGCCTCTTCAATATTGTTTCGGGGGACAAATGAACCGTCCATTTGAGATTGGAGATTAGGGGGACACGATTCACCTCCACTATAGAGAAGAAAGATGGCAAATTCTTTCTGAATCTTTGCAGTAGTTTGAATGTCAAGGTTCCACTGATGCAGAAGAGCTCGACGATATGACATAATTGCCTCTCGAGGAGCATCTGCAAGTTTGCATAATTCAGGAAGCAGCTCAACAGCCTTGTTGAGAGTATCCTGCAATTTACAGTCAGTAGCAAAGGTTTCAGGCAAGCCTGCTGGTAATGAAGATTCAAGAATGTCGAGAAGTACTGTACATGATTGTGCAGCTTCTGCAAAAAGATATTGGAAATACATTAGCTGGTGATAGGGTGAAAACCTGCAGTTAATTTTTCAGGTACACATTATTTCCCTCGTTGATTATAGTCACACATGGCAGAATAAAAATTAATCAGAAGCTACCTTAAGTGGCAATGACCAAAAAGTTTGCTTGCTAGGAGACAAGGGCAATCCTCTCGTACAAGTCTAGTGTATGACCCAAGCCAAATCATTTGAAAAGGTCAAAAAGTATTTCAATAAGAATGCCCAGTCAAAAGCCTTAAGCATGCTCATTCATGAAAAACCAACATACAGCCCAAGCATTGACATAGTAAAAATTTTAAGACAACCTGATACACTTGAGAACGGTGTAGCAGAGTTGCAGATGACATTTTTTTAGTTCTCAGTTCATTAAGAGTATCAAGTATGAATTTATTACATTTTCGGAAATCCAAAAACATGAAAGAAACCAGGTAATCCAAAGGTTTTCAGGATAATTTACTGACTCAATTTAGTAGGTGAGTGAAGGATGGGTCAACAATATCAATCAATCAATCAACTAAGAGTCTAAGACTCAATCACAAACTAATTGGGAAGTGAAGGATGGGTAAAGTAACAAAAGTACAGACAGCAAGTGCGAACATTTTCGTATTTCAACATGAATACATCATGTAAAACTGATGAAAAAGCAACCACTTTTCAGAAAAAGGAAACATTCGGGAAGCTAGTAAAAAGAGAAATAATATTATGTATTCTGCCCTTGTACCTGACTCATAAAATAAAATAACAAATGAAGCAAACTGAACAAATTTGTTCATTATTGAAGATGACTAGTACAAAAAGAAGTGATATTGATTGCGACATATACTCTACCTTTGTACCTCTGAAGAGCCTGCAATGATTTCGCTTTGAGAAAGACTGCTTCCAGGAGCAAACTCGCAGCGTTTATGGACAATGGTGGTGTAGAAAAACTCCGTGAACGTCTCTTTTGAGTTTGCACTCTTTCGGCAAGGGCAAGTTTCAACTTAGGAATCACTGAGGCAATATCTATCCCTTCAAAAACATGCAAAGCAGCCTCTATATTCCCTTTTTGGTATTCATATCTTCCTAGTAATGCTCTTGCTTCCTAGAAAATATTGATAACTTAGTTAAACTGCCATAAAATGGAAATCCTGCGACATGCAAATTAAACCTTGAAGCGGTTCCGGATGAGATGATGCACGGAAGGAAGATATACATTTCATTATGTTAGAACCAAAAAGAGAAATGAAAAGATTGACATATAATAAACAGGGAATTCACCTCATAATTCAAACAACCACTCTCACGCAAAGATGATTCAGCTTCTTCGATATTTCCAGTATCAGGCTTCTGTCCAGCTTCTCCAGCTCGTGATGAATGGACACTCGATGTGTGATCCTTAGTTGCAAGGGATTCAGGAGATGGAACCATCTCATCCATCAGAATTTGTTCCGACGAGCGTAGGCAGTTCATTATCTTGCGCACAACTCAAATAGTCCGACGTCTTCCCCTTTTGCTGACACAATTAACATTCTTCATACTCTACAATCCTTCCTTCAATGTCAGCAACACCAACAAGGATTTAAGCTCATTTGTCAAGGAAATTAGCTAGAACTACAACTCTACAAGTACCACTGAATTTTAATGTATTCAAATTTAAGTCACAATCATGGATAACAAAAAAGAAAAGGATAAGAGGATTCACATGAAGATAAAAAATCAATCATATTACTGTCTCCCCTCAATAAATATTTCTTTTATCTTTCTTTAAGTTGGAGCAGATCAATTGACACAGTTTCTTTCCAAACCCAACATCCCACTGTAATAAGCACAAACTTTTCCAAAAACTAAATCTTTAACCAAAAAGTGAACAAATTAAAGCACAGTGACAAAATTTCCATATGATCAACATCTATCTTCAAACTTATATTATGTCCCTCAATTCCAAATGATTTTTCTTTTTCCTTTGGGGATACAAAAACACCTTTAGATACCAAGTTACTAGTCATTTAGCAAAACATCATAAATCAACTAGAAATGATCAATAACTATAAGTGACCCATCATAATTCATACACCAAAAAAGCAAGAAAACAATGATTAAAAGCAAAGAAAAGGAGAAACAGGAACAGGTAGAAGGGATTATACCTTTCACTATTAAATGAATAACACTGAAAACAAGACAAGCCAGCCACAGTAGTTTCCATACTTAAAATCTCCAATCAATCAAAAAAACTCATTCTTTCTGTGATCAACCAAAGAATATATCAAAGCTTCAAACTTTACCTTCTTTTTTTATTCTTCTCCACTTTTTATTTGTAAAAATTACCATAACAAACATAACCCAATAATGATTTGGGTTTGTGGGTAGAGTAGGGACCCCTTTGGTGGGTGGAAATTTGGATATATGGGCACTCTCTGTATTCTAAAATTTCTCCACTTTATGTAAATTATATATATTATTACTACTAATAGCAGAGTTCCAAGAAGAGTCTGATGATGATATGGGGTTGTAGGTAGGGGTATTTTGAAGGGGTGGGTGGATAGTGGCAGTAAAAAGACAGCAGTGGGAATTGTGGGGTGGAGACAATTCTTGAATCTTTTCACAACAATTTTTGTAAGGAAACTGACAAAGTCAATGTCAATTTCATCAACTTTGGGAAGCTGAAGATGATGAAATAGGAGTAATAAATGTTGTCAGTAAATGTTTTACCTAATCATGCTACGCTGTCATCAATTTGCCATTTGTCATCCCAACAACTTTACTCCTTCCGTTCATTTTTATTTGTTACTTTTGACATATCAAGAAAATATAATAATTTTTTTCTATGTTTTATTCTCAATCTTGATACTTATTTTCCAAATTATTTTTTAAGATATCGTTGAATAGGAAATAGTTTGGTAAAATACCTATATTATTAATTATTTTCTTAATAATTGTGTCAAATCAAATTGTTACTCCCTATGTCCATTTTTTTGACTTGACACACGTTAAAAAAATAAGTAAAACTAAGGATGCGTTTGGTATGAAGAAAAATATTTTTCATAGAAAATGTTTTTCGAGAAAATGTTTTCCTAGAAAACAAGTTAATTTTTGACTTATTTTCTCATGTTTGGTTGGTGAGTAGAAAATATTTTTCGAGAAAGATTTTTAGTATTTGATTTATGAATGAAAAATGTTTTTGAGAAATATCTTTTATTTTTACTAGAATAGAAAATAAATTTTGAAATTGAAAATATTTTTAAAAACAAACTTAAATTTTTTTTGGAGGGTGGAGGGGGGGGGTTGGTAGGGGGGGTAGGGGTGAAAAATTGAAATTTTAAAGTTGAAAATATTTTTTAAAAACAACCTTAAATTTTTGTTTTGGGGGGTGGGGAGGGGGGGCCGGTAGGAAGGTGGGTGGGTGGTGGTGGGGGTTCGAGGGTAGGGGTGAAAAAATGATTTTTTTGAAGTTGAAAATATTTTTAAAAAACAAGCTTAAAAAAATTTTCTTTTTGAAGGGGGTGGGGGGCTAATAGGGGGTTGATGGGGATGGGGAGGGTAGGGGGTGGGGAGTAAAAAAATAAAAAATTGAAATTAGAAATATCTTTTAAAAATAACTTTTAATATTTTTTTTTGGGTGGGGTGGTGGTAGGGAGTGGGGGTAGGTTGAGGATGGGGTAAAAAAATTGTGATTTGAAGTTGAAAGAGAGTTTTGGAAAATGTTTTTCTTAAGTTTTGAAAGGAAGTCATTTTCCTTAAATTTGAGGAAAATGAGTTAATTTGAAAAACATTTTCCAAAACATTTAATTCAACCAAACATGAGAAAATTGGAAAATCCTTCATACCAAACACACCCTAAATGGACACTTTTTTTGCACGACTTGACCTGACACTGCAAAATGGCAGAAATAGCCTTTTGGTTCTTGGCTCCAAAACCACCTAAATTTCCCTCCAAAAAAAGAAAATCACATTGACTTTTCTTTTTTAGGGTAAAACTAAATGGCATGACACTGCGAAATGACAGAAACAACCTTTTGGTTATTGACTCCAAAATCACCTAAATTTTCCACCAAAAAAAGAAAATCACTTTTGACTTTTCTCTTTTATTTACTTTACTAATTTTATTTCATTTACTTTACTCTTCCAATATCTTTACTTTCTTTTTTACTTAATTCATTTTATCTCTCATTCTAGAAAATGTTTCTTAATTTTCTTATGTTTGGTTGGCTTAAATATTTTAGAAAATAGTTCTCAAATAAACTTATTTTCCTCAAATAATAATTTTTTCCTTACCTCACTCCGTACCCCGACCCTCCCCATTCAATAAAATAAAATATTAAAATTTTCTTTCTTAAAAAAATCAATTTATTTTGTTACTACACCCAAACTAGCCCCTCCTCAACAAAAAAAAAAATTAATAACTTAAAATTTTATTTTTGAAAAACAGTTCAAAGTTAGATTTTTTCAATTTTTTTACCCCGCTCAACTCCTGACTGTCCCACCCCCGCTTTCCACAAAAATAATTAAAATTTGTTTTTGAAAAAATAATTAAATTTTCATTTTTTTAGTCCACACTTACCCCAACCACCCTCCACCCCCACCCCCCAATGAAAATTAATAAGTTAATTTATTTTATCATTTATAAAAAATAATTCTATGAATTGCTAATTTTTAATTATAATGAAGTAGTATGGAATATTTATATCCAAGCTAGTGACCTAAAAGACAATGTAATTTTTTGCCTTCATCTGAAATATGATATGTTTTTTCAATATGCTAAATAGACTTTATATGCATATGGTAGAACAAACTATTTAGAGGTCATATTTTAAAACAATAATCTATGTATTAAGTTGAAAACAATACATTTTTTTGTTTAAATCTTATCTATCTTTTGAGTACTCGATCATTTATGATGATATTAATTATTATTTTTTGATCTTTCACGTTACGTCTTTTTCATCACATTTGTTTACTATTTATATATTAAAGAAATGTTTTTAAAAATTATAACAATGAAACAAATAGGAGTTATCAATAATATTTAAGAGTAGAAATTATAAAGAAGATAAATAAATTGATTGCATAAAAGACGTGTCATGTTACAATCTCATCAAAGACCACAATTAAATAATATATAGGCATAGATTTTTATAATTATGTAGCTAAGACATAAAAAATAATAATCTACATTATTATATTCACAAAGTAATAAAAAATGAAAAGAAAACTTCTAAATACATTTCAAGCAAGAAAAGAATAGCGACAAAAACAAATTATTACATATGCATAAGAATAAGCAATGATGTCATATAATAATTTATTTCATCTTTAATTTTCTTTGAGAGAAAAATAAAATATAACTTATTCTCATAATTGTTTTGATTGAAATAAGATAGTTATATTAATTATGTTTTACAATAAAAAGTAGGATCATAGAGGACTAAATGAGTAATGTTGTCAATATGTGTACTTAAGTTACTATATATTACAAGTCAAAGTAAAAAAAAAAAAATCTCTAGTAAAAGTAATTCCTAACTATGCTTCAAAAAATATTCTTCTAAGTCTTCCTTCAAGAAAACATACAATAAATAAATAAATAAATAAATAAAGGAGAAAGTAATATAATACAATACAAGCATCACTTTTACAATTTTCATTATCAAATAAATATGAATTCAATAAATCAATTCATAAATTCAAAATAAATTATTTAATTATAATAATATAAAACACAAAAAATATAAAAAATTGTTATTATGATATTGTTTTATGTATGGTATTATGATATTTATATTCCCATCATGTCAAATAAAAAAAAAAATTATATCAAAAAAGGAAAAATAAATTAAAATATACTTGTAAGTTATGAAATTATCAAGACTAAAATTAAAGGGTATGAGTTATGAGTAGTTACTATTTATAAACATATTAAATTAGAAAAGCTTAAAATATTAGAAGTTATACTTGTCATTTTATAATAAGAAAAAGGACACAGAAATTCTCGACGAAAAAAATGTCAAATAACTTGAGCATAAATTTAACTACCTTATACATGCTCTTAATAACAACAATTACATGAATGTAAAAATCAAGCTAAAAAGATATCAAGAAAATATATAATAAATAAATAAAGGAGAAGGTAATAAATACAAGCATCATTTCGTGCCAAAAAAGTGTCCTGCCAAATATATTTTTCGTAAAAAAAAATAATTGTATAGTGAGTTTACCATTTTATCCATATTAATTGATAAATTTTCAAAATAAATTTACTCATTGAAGATATTCTACTTTTTTCAAAAATATTACTACAACTCTCTAAATAAATTGAGGGATAATATGTAAAAAAATATTATCTTTTCTTAATTTGTCAAAAATGATAAGTAAAAAGGGACAAGTTAAAGTCAAAATTGGACAACTAAAAAGGGACAGAGTGAGTATGAAATACTCTCCTATTTCAATTTATTTGTCTTGTTTTAATTTGATACAAAATTTAAGAAATAATAAAAATAAAATTAAAGTGGTTTTAGATTAAGAATATGTCAAATGGATCAAATATTATTTTATCTTATAATCGAAAGTACATAAATCTTAAAAAATTGTCCAACAAGAAAATAAGTAATATTATTATGGTGAATGTCAGTAACTCCTAAGAAGTTACTCCACTATAATCTTCTCCATGATATATAATTAATTTTCCATTAATTCTCATCATTATAAATTTAACTTTTACCTCATTTAATCTTTTTATTATTTTCATGATTAATGTCATGTTATAACAAATTTTTATATACCTTTACGACTATTATAAATAGAGTATAAGAACTCATACACTACATCAAAAATGATCTTTAATGGTAATTAATTAGCAATTGTCGCTAAATATGTATTTTTAGCGGCAATTAACACTCTTTGTATATGTCCCTAAAGGCTTTAGCGACATTGGATCTAATGACACTTAACTAATGCCGGTAAAGACTTTATCACTCTTTATTAATGTGTCTATTTATTGTCGCTAAAAATTATTTTTGTTGTAGTGATATTATATACATTTGAAGACTTGAAAAACTTCTAAAAAAAATAAGAAAAGTTCTCATTTCTTATTTCTATCTATTTTCATAGATTTTTTATTTGCTCTAATTTCATAATATGTTGTTATAATGAAGTTTTAATCAATTGTATCATCTCGATTAAGGTTGTGTTTAATCTCTTTGGAAGTTACTAGTATTGTTGCAACGCATTTTTTAATGTGGAATCCACTTCATATTTTATTTGTGATCGTGAAAATATAATTGCATGTAATATTTCCGAATTTTAAATTATGTTTGTTTCATTGAATTTGTTTCATCTGTTGAATTGAATGTAATGGAGTACATGATAAATCTGAAATATGACAAAATAGTTATTGTGATTGTACAAATGAATGTGGGCACAACAAAGGATAAAAGGATAATAGTCATTATTGTGCTAATTATAAAATGCAGAACTTTAT